CTTCCTGACACTATGCCAGTGATCTCAGCAGGTTCTATGGTGCTACCATGGAGAAGCCTATTCGGAGAAGCTCTGTGAGGTGTGCGGCATCTGCTCCACCTTCCAGATGAGGCGTAGAGGCCCACAGCCAATGGCTGTGCTCAGCACACCCAAGACCCAGGAGGACCTGTGTGGCAGCCGTAAGGAGCAGCGTCTCTCCCACGGTGGCTGTCCTAGCTGGGCCTGGCAGGGAGCACTGCCCTGTCGTCCAGGCTGTGACGAGGAAGCCAAAGTGTATCATCTTCTTGAGCAGCAAGACCTTTCCTGCCAGTCTGTCCTTTCCCAGCTGTCACCCCACAGGCAAGAAAGTCCCTAAGGTCCTTGCTGGGCCATGGGATAGCCTGTCACTCTGAGAAAGTGTGAAGAAGGAACAGGAGAGGCACAGGTCCCCTGTGGTGTTAGCCAGCGCTCAGAGCAGTTGCTCCAGTAGACAGCACCAGACACCTCAGAGCCCACAGAAGCAGCCCTGGACTTTTGCTGAAGGCTCCACAGGGATCTGCAGAGGGAGCAGAGGGGCACCATGCAGACCCCTTAGTCCAGCAGAGGTTTCCTCCCTCTTTATTTCTTTTGAGCCTGAGGTCTATCCTTGGACCTGTGACACCTGGAACCAGCATCCCAGCATCACCAGCCTTCACTGTGCTGGGCCCTGGCTCTCTCCCTGCAGCTGCAGCCCCTCTCTGAGCAGTGTCCCAAGGCTTCTAGGGAAACAGCTCATACTGATTTGCCGACGGGCTATGTGGGCAGAGTGGGCTTCAAGCAAGCTGAGCCCCTGCCAAGGAATTGAACCCCTCAGGTGCTCCTGGAGTTGAGCATGGTCGAGTGACTTCCTGCTCACAATGTGCAAACCAGGTCAGCTGGCTTCTCCCTAATCCCAGAAGTGTCCTGGATGCTTGCCTGCCCCAGACTCAGTGGTTTTGCATAGGCAACTTGATTCTGGAGGATTTGGGTTCCGTAGGCCAGTGCTGCCTTCAGGACCCAGTACCAACTGCCCTGTATCCACCACGGCTCTCACCAAGCCCAGGAGCCTCAGATTATCCAGGTATCCTGAGCTTCTGCCCTCCCCAGATGTAAGCCCCAGGCCTTGGGTTCCAAAGAGGCCAGCGCAATAAGAAGAATTTCCATGCAACTCGGAGCTGCATCTGAAGTGCAATGAAGGCCCAGCCAGGAAGGGGATCGGGAGCTGACTTTGGTGAATGTGCTCCTAACAGGCAATGATCAGGCCTTCCCAGGTCAGCCCTATCTCAGCCTTGTCCCCAGCTCAGGCAGGCAGCATTATCAATGCCCATGAGTGGCTGCACAGATAGGCTTTGAGTTCAGCACTCCAGGAAAGTCAAAGGAGCTGCAGTTTCCACCTTCTGAAGGTTAGAAGGGGTTGAGGCCCAGAAGAAACCATCATGGTGCACATAGCAAGACTCTGAGGCCATGGAAAGGCTGATGCCCAGATCCAGCCTTGGAGAGCTTGAGAGAGGCACAGGCAGCCAGCTTCTCATCTAAACCTCAGTTTCCCCAGCTGTGCCAGGGGAGACACCAGGTGGCTGGGTTTCATTGCCAGCCAGTGGGTTGGACAGGGCCATTGAGGGCCAAGTGGGCTGCCCAGACTCCTCCCATGCCTGCCCCTCCCTGGAGGACCAGATCATGAAGCCTGTGCTACTGGATACTTGTGCCCCAGGTCACAGTGAGCTGTGGCAGTCCCAGAAGCCAGCCAGTGCTTGGTTCAACCCCCCTGCCACCAGAAGTCTAAGAATTCTAGGACCCACCCGTGAAGCATCCAGTTCAATGTGGGCTATGCATACGGTCATGGGAATGGTGAAGCCCCCAGGCCATGCTCCATTGGGGAACTTGATTCCCCCTGAAAACTACTTCTGAAGGTTCTCCAGTTGTGCCTCCTGAGCAGAGTCTGGAAGTGACAGCAGAGGTGATAGTGGGTCTGTGGGGCCTTGTGGTGTAATGAAGCCAGCCCTGCCATCCTGCACCCTCCTGCTTTCCTTGTGCAACAGCAGAGGCATCACTCAATTAGGGCAATTAAGTCACTCCACAGCCTCAGGTCAAACCAGCATGAGGAATCAGTCAGCCCCACTGCAAGGCTGGCCCAGCACTTCCTCCAGAAAAATAGACAGACTGGAGCAGGTGTCCTTCTGTCCTCAACAGCCCAACAGCACAACAAGGCAGCCTGAGAAATTAGCAGAATCAGCTTGACAGCCTTGGCTGAAGAGACCCCAGGACACTGAGACCCCTCTGTGACACTGAAGTGACACAGAGCCCACTTTCCTAGGCACGCCTGCAACTTTCCAGAGCCAAGTGGGGGCTGGGAGAGGTGGAGCCAGAGGTGGGGTTTTAATCTGCAGAAGCCCTCGCAGGTGACCTGAGATGGACTCTAGCCCAGCCCTTCTCCATCCCTATGGGCTGTGTGACCCTGAGCTATACCCCACGCATCTCTGTGCCTTCTTTCTCCTCTGAGGAAATGGTAGCCACAAGTTATAGTCCCCTCCACCTCAGAGGGCAGGGGCTCAGACCTGCAGGGTGAGGTGCACAGTTGGGCATCGCTGTCACTGTGTCCTCCCAGCATCCCTGTGTCATCATTCCAGCTCGGACTCCCATACCAGCTCCCTGCAATTTGGATCCACCCTGGGTCTACAGAGCAATGGAGGCTCAAAGCTGCTGCTCAGGAAGCCCCATGGACAATGACTTCCAGAAAAACCATTGTCCTTCTGTGAGTCTACCCACATCTTCCCTGGGATAAACCCAGACTAACAGGATTCCTTATCATCTGAGCCCAGCACCCATGGGTGTCCTGTGTGCCCAGCTCACTGAACTCCAGGCCTCAGCTATCCTCCCCTTGCTGAGCACTGAGCCTGGCTCCCAGCCCATCACCCACCAGCTGGACTGCAGGCTTACCCTCTGGTGCTGTCTTCTCATCTCAGAAGGGAAGCTGCCCACAGGCTCATTTGGGGCCTCAAATGTCACCAGTCAGAACTCTTGTTCTGTGAGACCGGCTCACCTCTGAACCATGGGGTTCCAAACACTGGCTGTGTGGGGCACCACGGACAGCTTGGCATATGGGCTGATGCACACACACCTGTGATTTCCGGAAGCAGACAAAAGAACTGCAAGCTTGAGTCCTGGGCAATGAGGTGACTTAGTGAGGCCCTATCCCAAAATAAAACTTAAAAAGGGCTGGTGGTGTGGCTCAGAGTAAAGGCTCTGGGTTCTATCTCTTGTACAAAAAGGAAAAAAAAAATTAAAAAGAAAAACCTTCTGGAAGAGTTCAAATGTAGCACTGACGGGGAAGAGACTCTTCAGAGGGCATCTCAGAAGGGGCTCATCTGTGGCACATGCTCTCGTGTGGCTGTGTGATCTGTGCTGATCAAGAGGGCCCTGCCCGAGGAGAGCAGAGCCACCTGGGCTAGCGTCTGGGCTGTGCATGCATTCACCCCGCGGCACATGTCCCCAGGTTCCAGGCCTTGTGTTCCCTCCGTGTTCCCGGGTCACGCAGAACCAGCTCCCCTGAGCAGACCAACTCCAACCTGCCCCAGAGCAAACACCATTTGTTTGGCCCTCACTTGTAGTGTGGACCTTCTAGTGCCCACTTTCAGTGGGGCTGTCACCTGCAGTGCTACCCCTGCACCTAAGAGGCATCCAGGCAAAGACAGCCGTGGTCCAGAGGAGGCAGGGGCTGGCCTCTGGGAAGTGTGTATCTGCAGTAATGCCAAGGAGACCAGAGCGGCTGAGCCCTGAGCGCCCACGAAGCCAGTGCCACAGGTCCAGGTCATTGCATGCCAGTGTCCTATCCATCTGCTCTAGGTGGCATTCACCCTCCTCCCTGAGAGCAGCATGAGGCACAGGCAAGGGGGTGGGCCTAGCACAGAGGAGTGCAGGTGGCACAGTCTGACTTCCGGATGGCTCAAGCACCCGGGCTGGGGTCTCTGCTGCTATCCCACTCCCCTTCTCTGTGCCTCAGCTGGCCCCTTGCAGAGACGGTGAAGTAGGATGAAGACCCGCAGCTCAGAGCATTGCTGCACACACCACTGAACTCTCCCGTCGGCACGCTCAGTACACAAAGCTGGACGGGCCCCTCCAAGGGCTTGGGTGGCTTCCAGTGGAGGACAGACAGCAATCTCCAGTTTCTAAACAGCCGAGTGACACTCAGATGTTTGATCTGTGACAGAGCCACGGGAGCTTCAGGTTGGGCACAGCCAGCTGGGGAGTCAGACGAGCCTTACCATGTGGCCCATGCCAGTGAGTGCCTACTACTCTCCCAAGAAATATATTCCCAAATCTTAGTTATTATGATAACTAATAGGATTAATAAGCAGTCTCAGACTAGATTGATATGCAGGCATCAAAGTATAAGGAAGGTCTTATGGAAGCCCCCAGGGCTTGCGTTGAAGATTTGCAGAGTGGGGTTATTTTAATTAGTTTGCACTTCATCCTGTGCACTCTGAAAAGCCTCCCAGACAGCTTTTTGGTTGTTTTAGCTGCAACAATAGACACTGCAACCTCCTGCCAACAATAAATCGAACATCGATGATACTGCCGCCGCTGGAATCTGGTCACACTGGTTCCCTGTGTTGCAAACCCAAGTTGCTAATTGAGTGAGCAAAGACCCTTTGGTCAAATTTTACTAGCAAAACATAAATAAATAATAATAAATTCACAACTGGGCCAATTGTATTAGGATTCCCAAAGGCTTAAAATAGGCTCCTGAAGACTGCTTGGATGGTGGACAAATGCATGAATATTAGAAGGAATATGAATTAACCTTGTGCTGATTTTCCCTAAAAATGCCTATGTCTGGAATTTTGTTGAGTTTGTGTGTGAATTTTTTAAAAAGGATCACAGGTCAATTGCATTACAAATTATAACCATGTTACTGGTGTTTAAAGATAGTATTCCAAAGAGCATGTTCTTGGCCTTTTGGTCCATTTGGGTTCCTCTAAAATTACTTTCCCTCTTCTTTCTAGGGGGGCTGTGATGATATCAAAAGTGAACAAGAAAAGAAGTTTGGAAACTACAGACCCTAAAGCCCAATAAGACCGGCACATGCAGCCCCCGCTGCTGTAACAGGTGGGTGTGTGGGCTAGCTCCCTGTCCCTGAGACAGGCATGTGTGGTAATGAACTTGAAAGAGGAAAGCTTACCTGCCCCTCCAGCACCAGTCCATAGTCATCTGGCCCGTGGCAAGTTCTTGGCACTATGTCTGTGAGCATCTTCATTGCTGTTTGGAATCAGGATAGAATTAGAATGGAAGACCAGTGAGGACCACAGGTTATAGAAACCAGGCACAGGGACAGGAAAAAAAATGGATGCTGGCGTCCAGGAGTAGATAGCAGGATAGGCATCACCAGAGCCCCTGGATCCTAGGAAAACCAAGCCATCCTTGGCCCTGTGCTGAGCATCATCTCCACGCTGGCCTGGAAGCCTTGCCATGCATCTTGATTCCACATCCTAAGACCCAACATAACATCAGGGGGAAACAAGTCCCCAAAATTAAGGTTCTTAGGGGAGTATTCAAAAATCACAACAATTCCTACAAACAGAAAGCAGGGCTTTTACATGTCTCAGAGATTCTAGGTTTCGATCTGAACCAACCCCATTTTTATCTTGGAGTGGAAGTGTAGGAACCCCACTTCCTGGCTTCCTTACCAGCCATGGCCAGGTTCAAAATCCTAGCACTCAGGACATGAGGAGACCCACACACACACACACACTGTCCTGGGGGATGCTAAGGACTGGAAATCTGACTCAGAGTAGAGAAAGCCACTCAGTTCCCCTGGGCCCCATTGATGACCCTCAGTGTGGGTGGGTCTGTCACCAAGGGCATGGCTACCCATGGCCAATGCTGCAGCCCCAGCAAGATGGGCTTTGGTGGTCATTGTCCTTTGGGTTGCAGACTGAATGCATCCATGTTATGGTTGAATTTGGTCCCCCAAGAAGCTACATGTTGCTGCTCTAGCTCCAGGACCTCACGGAAATAAAGATGAAGGCCTTAGGTGGGCCCTGATCCAGCCTGTCTCAGATCCTCTTAAAAGAGAAAATGTGGACATCCAGACCAGTAGCAAGGGAAGATGAGGTGAACCCTTATCAGGGGTCACAATTGCTCCTCAAAGAGCTCCTGAGGCTTGGGACATGTCCTCCCTCCAAACTCTTAGAAGTCTCCAGCGCTGTTGACACCACCAATGCTCCGACACACCATTCTGGCCATGGGCATGGGGCCCAGTGTGAGGTTGGCAAAGGCTGTGTCTTCAGTTTCCATCTGGATGTCACTGAGAGTGGGAAGAAAGGGCCCCACTCGATGGGGACCACACTTTGGGTCAGGAGACAAGGCCTTTCTCAGATGTCTAGTTGCTTCTGCCCCTTGAACTAGAACCCTATAATCTGGTCCCATTGGCTGCAGGGAGGCTGTGATACAAATGTTTGGCTTTCCCAGGTTTTCAGGGGACAGCAGGTAGAAAATGAGGGGTATGAGAAACTGGAGGTCAGAGGAGTCCACCTCCCATGCCACCACCTGGGTCCCTGTTGTCCCTTCCTGTGAGCTTCCACAAAGGTATGTTCTCCTGAGTGTGTACATCCTAGGCAACAGGCAGCCTGGTGTTCAAGGCAGAGGTGCGCAGCATGAGAGAGGCTTCCCAGCACAGATCACAGTGCCAGGTCCACTCAGCCACTTGCTGGACCCCAGCGCCCTGTCCTCCACATACCATAACATAGCTGTTTCACTCAGAGACCCAGCCACCTGCCGTGAATGGGCTTTGTGCACTTCCAAAAACTGTAACTAAGAGTCCAGGAACAACAGACCCCAACACAGGCCAGATCCTAGGGTGTAAAAGGAAGAACAGACAGCACAGCAGCTCTTCCCCCAGTGGGACCCCGGGAGGCACAATTAATGCTGGCCCATGTGGCTCCAAACATCCAGGCAGGGAGGACACTGAGCCCCAGAAGCCAGCAGCAGCCAATTAGGGGGCTGAGTGCAGCCAGGTGGGACCCTTCACCTGCTGGGAGACTGTCACCCTCCTCCTGAGCACTGGCTGATGTCATAAAGGGCAAGCAGGGAAGTGGCACCACCTGACCAGCTCCTGCCACTGTGAACAGGGCAGTGGGAAACAGGAGTCCCTTCACCCATCAAAAACATAAGAGCTCCCTGCTAGATGCTCATTGTTCCCCAACCCAGGCCCTTCCAGGGCCACTCAATGCTCTTTCATAGAGCATTTCACAAACTCATTATGGGACATTCTAGGCTTTGAAAGTGCACGAACCCTGGCATGCTCAGCATCCCCACAGGAAGCACCACCCTCAGAATACAAGAGACAGCGTGACATGCACATCCCATAATCAGAGGGTGTGTGCTATATAAAAAATAAGAAATACCAAGTGCTGAGGAGGATGTAGGGAAACTGGAACCCCAAGGTGGGAAAGCAAAGTAGTCTAACCCCTCTGAAAAGCAACCTGGTGGGCCCTTGAAAAAATAAATACAGAGTCATCATATGATCCAGCAATCCCACTTTGGGTACAGAAGAATTGGACCCCAGAGACTTGAAAGCCAACTCTCAAAGAGACATTTGCACTCCCTCACTCACACAGCATCATCCACAGGAGCTGGAAGCCCACCTGAGTGTCCACTGGTGGATGATGGACATGCACATGGTCTTCCCTGTCTTCAGGGTCCTGTCTGCAAAGTGGACACCAAACATCCGAAAGGCTCTATAATGAATAATTACAGATGTTTTTCCTTGTCATTATTCCCTAAATAATGCATAAAATAACTGCTTATAGAGTATTTGCATTGCATTTGGCATAATTAGTCATATAGAGACAATTTAAAGTATACGGGAAGATTGTGTAGGTTACGTGAAAGTCCTGCGCTTTTTACATGAGACTTGAGTGTGTTATCTATAGAGGAGTAGCCATTCAATTCACACAGGTATCAATAGATGAGTGTGTGTGTGTGTGTGTGTGTGTGTGTGTGTGTGGTACACATTAATGAAAGAGAGAAAAGTGTAATGTATTATTTATCTAAAAAGGAAGGAAATTCCAATATAGCCTACAATATAGGTAAGAAAGCCTGAAAAATTTTATGCCAAAGAAATAAGCCAGAAACAAAAGGGCAAATACTACACACCTCCATTCTGACAAGGGTCCTAGATAGAAATGTAGGAATGCCCAAGATAGAAAGTAGAAGAAAAGAAGGCAGAGCCCAGGAGAGGCTGTGGGGGGCAGAGCTGCGGTTCCCCATGAGGAAGCAGCCTCAGAGAAGGTGGTGGTGTGGCTGGCCCTACTCAACTGCACCCTCACACATGGTTAAAATGCCAAATTTGAGATTGTATATGTCTCAGGACAGTTTTTTAAACAGAAGATAATAGAATGAAGGAGCAAGGAGCACAGCAGAAGAGCAGGCAGAACTCATGAGATCCCAGAGATGCAGAGTTACTTGGGGACAATAGGGAATGCGCTCCCAGAGAAGGGTTTCAGTGACAGAAGAGAGCAGAGTGGCAACCTCAAACTGCTGCCCAGCCCCCTCCAATCCACCAGCCCCTCCTCAGGCCACATCCAGGGCCATCAAAGCATCTGGGGCCTGACATCCAGGCTCTGCAGACCATGCCTTCCTACAGGGGACTCTCTTGATGAGGAACAACAGCAAACACAGAGCCCAGCAGTCCCCAACCTCCAGTGCTTATGGAGCAATGTGGGGACAGACAACAAAGACAACCTAATTCTAAGTCTAACTCAGTAGCCGGATAATAAACCAGGCAGTGGAGGAGATGAGGGGACAACTCATGGGCTGTCAGGGAGCTTGCAAAAATGATTGCTGGCTTAGGCTATGTATCAGTTAGGGTTCTGCAGAACCAAACCAACAGGATGTGTGCAGAGAGAAATCCACTTAACACAGATCTATCTTCTTGGTCAATTTCTAAATACTTGGTACCACGCTGTCAACTATAAGCACTGCAATGGACAGGGGGTCTCTAGGACTTATTCATCTTGAAAACTCCAAATTTCTTTTTTTTATTTTGTTTTATTGAGAAACAAATATCAATGAGACAGTTTCAAAACTGATTAATAGGACATTTTCAATAATTAACACATTGTACATTGTTATCTTCTTAGTGGTTATCCATAGTACAAGAAGCAGACAGGATATCCTGTACAAACACTATTACTACAAATCTTTCTTCTCATTGAATTAAGCAAAAGTAGCTGTATATCTATCCCAACTATTCTGTATATACAAATACAAAATGATCCTGTTTTTGTATCCTCTTTTTTTGTTTAGTCCTGTCAGAAATGGGTATTCTATTTGCATCTAAATGCTATAGGTGCTTGAATTCAGCAAAACAATCCAACACAGTCTAGCAGTCCACAATAGTAGCGGGCTATCCACAAAAGTTGTTGACTAGAGCCTTTTACAGCTCAGCATATTAATATGGCTTTACTTTACCTCATTTTTATACTTTTCTGCTGGATGGTAAAGACCAAGATAAAGCAAGACCTCTATAACGAAAAATGTAACTTTTGTATCTGATAAGATCAGTCAAGTCCCCTCAGGATTTATCCTGTAACCCTACACCACACTTTGTAGATCCTTTGTCAGTGTCATCCATGTGAATGAGTCACGGCCATTGCTTGACCAATTTTCTCTCTGTGAAAGCCTGAGAGAAAGTTTTCTCTCCATGTGACTCTCCTTAGGCACATTATACATCATCAATCACATTCCTCTGTGGCTCCAAAATCTCCTTGATCAGAAAATTTTGGGCACAACTGAGTTACATGTTACAGTACAGGATCTCCTATGTACTCAGTCTTCGGTGACCTTGAAAGGCTAGGTCCAAAATGTTGGCTGACCTTACAGCCCTTCCTTTTCTCCAACTTTTGATCTGCAAAATTAAGTTGTTAACCCTCCAGAAGAGAAGCTTATTATTACCCTGTAACATATACAGTTCAGTTTACCCTATCTGTCTAAATATCAAACATCTTAGGCATAATGTGGAACAGATATTTTCCATCAAGTATTGACGTGTTGAACTTTAAGTCCTTACAGAATATGAAGAAAAAAAATGTTTTAAATAGGAATATACATATTTTTACACAGAAATTTAGAAATCTAACCATATACAGCATTGTAGCAGGACAGTCCTGTCACATACTTTGTCACATATTTTTCTTTTTCTCATGTCTTTTTTTTTCATTTATTACCCATTTATTTTTTTTTTACTTGTGAGACAGTATGGTAATAATTGGAATGTCATGACAAGAAGTATGTATTTAGAAGACCAGAATGACAGGCATTCCAAGCGTGACCCTTCTATTACACATTGCTACCTTCAGTGCAGTTGCTTGGTTCACAGGTGTCAGCATATATAGTTAGTCAGGTTGAAAATCCTACCAATTAACTGCTAGTCTCAAAAACCTGCTGATGTTTCTCAGGATCATTGCCTTGCCCATCTTGTGTGTAGACATGTATGGCTTTGTCCCTGTCCTGTTTCCCAGCTGTTCTCCTTACCCTCTCCTTGTTTTCCAATCCTTAAGTTCTCGCTTTCCTTTTAGTTGTGTTATACCTTTCTATTTGTATTTCTTCTTTTGATTTTTTATACTAGGGAGACTATACACTATTTACACATGTGGGTCTAGTTTATTTCACTTATGAGTATATCTTCAAGTGGCATTCACTTAAATATAAATGCTTCCAGTTTATCATTCTTTATAGCTGAGTAATACACCACTGTATAAAACTACTACATCTTTTTTAACCATTCCTCATGTGACAGGCATCTTGGTTGTTTCCAAGATTTGGCTATCACATATTGTGCTGCTATAAACATAAATACACATATATCTATGATATGACATTTTCAATTCCTCCAGGAAAATTCCCAGTAGGGGGATAGCTGGCTTGAATGGGATTTCCAGTCCTAGTTTCTTAAGGGCAATCTCCAAATTTCAAGCCCTTTGGCAACACCTCGCTGTCCCCCAGCCCACCCAGCCCCTGGTATCCACTACCTCTGCTCTGTTTTGAGGTGTGCTTTAGAGCCCTCACACAAACAGTAGCATATTTGTCCTTCTGTGTGTGGCTTATTTCACTTAGCATGAAAACCCTGCATTCACCCATGCTGGGAATAATGATGAGATGTCCCTCTTCCTTCAAGGCTGAGTGACACTGCACTCCTTGTATAGAGCACCTTTCTTTGCCCGTCGGTCCATCCTTGGACATTCAGGATGCTCCACGTCTTCCTACTTAGAACGTCACTGCTGAGAGCACGGGAGTATGAGCATCTCCTTTAAGGTTCTGATTTCAGTCATTTCAGGTCTACGTGCAAAAGGGGAAATACTGAATCACAAGGCATTGTGGGTTTAGTGCTTTGAGGAACTCCGCACTGTTTTCCACGAGGCTGCTCTGATGCCCATTCTCAGCAGCAGTGCGCACGTGCCCTCCCACACCCTCCAACACTCATCATCTTGTTTTGTATGTGCTTTTCCTTGCACATCCCAGATAAGCAGTGATCCTGAGTACCTTTTCCCCACTATTTGTGTCTTTTCTTTTGAGAAATACCTCTTCAGTTCCTTTGCCAATTGATAGTTGGGTGATTTGCTTTTGCTTTGTTTTTGGTCTTTTTGCTGTTGAGTTATGTGAGTTCTTTATATATTTTGGGGTATTAATCCTCTATCAGTTATGTGGTTGGCAAATAAATACTCGTTCCCATTCTGAAGGTTGTCCTTTCACTTTATCAATTGTTCCCTTCGCCGCATGGAAGTATTCTGGGTTGGCGTGGTCCTGCCTGTCCAGCTTTCACTTTCATTGCCTTTGGTGTGTCAAGCATGCTCTCCTTAGCATTTTGCCAATTAGAGGAGGCTCACTTCCATTAAGGAGGAAAAGCTGCCTATTTTCCTTCTTAATGGTCAGCCACACCTGAAAGTGTCATGGCAATTGTACTAAAAACAGCTACAGCTGGACACACAGGGTGGTATATTATCGTTCACCACAGTCACCACTGCCCACCTGGAACAGCAGAGCACTCTTGCGTAGAGCTGTTACACTGGACACCCTGCTCATGCCACGCGTTTCTTTCTTTTACAGAGAAAAGGAAAATCTGCATTTTGAGATTGGAACTGGTCTATAGGAAGCTCCAATTTTAGGAGACGTGGGTTTACCTCCCTTTCCAACATCAGCATAACCCAAGGCCCCCGGCATACAGGGACATGCAGGGTAACAAGAAGTGCACAGATGGCTTCAGCGACTCCTCCAGCATCGGTAGTGTGCTGGATGATGCAGACCGGGAGGTGAGCAACCTCACAGACCGGGCCTTCCGAAGCCTGTGCATCTCTGAGGACACCTCCTTCCATGACTCTGATCTGGCCACGTCCCCGGACAGCTCCCACCGAGTGCTTGGGCCTCTCCACCAGGGCACCATGAGCCATGCCCACAGGAAGAGTGGCATCTGGAGCCAGCTTCCGCCGCAAGGCACAGAGCACGCAGGCTGGGCAGCCACCTTCCAACAGCTCCCCAAGTATGTTCAAGGGGAGGACAAATACCCCAAAAGCAGCCCCCCACTCACTCCAGCCCAGTGGAGACTGGAGGTGCCTATTTCTGGCCTGCGAAGCAGCAACAAGCCTGTTTCCAAAGTATCATCCCTGATCAAGTCTTTCGACAGGACTGAGAACCAGCGCTGTGACAGTAGGCCACCCCCAAGCAAGCCTCCAGCTCTCAAAAATCCCCCCAAATTTGCCCCTCTTCCTGACAGTAGTGTCAACTTCTGCTTCGACTCTGCCTTTCTGACAGTCAGGAGGGTGCCTGCCGAAGTCTCCAGTGTGCACCAAAGCAGTCATCAGCCCCCACAGAGCCATGGAGAACGAGAGTCCCCAAAGAACCCTGAGATGGCCCGTCGCAGCTCTGGTGGCCTCCTGTCAAAACCGGACAGTACAGCCAGCTCATTTGAGTCCAAGTTCCCCTCTCCATCACACCAGCCAGCCAAGGCAGAGCCCAGCAGAGGCCAAGAGTGGGCCCACAAAGGTACTTTTCTGCACAGCGAGAACAGTGCCTTCGAGTCGTGGGATGCCCACCAACCTAAGTTGCTTGAGAGAAAAAATGTGGCTGAAAGTATCTCTGAGAACAAAATCCTCAAACACTATGAAGATGTGCTTCCCATAAGAGAAGCCCACACTCGGCCCCACAAGGTCTCCCCCTGCCCAGTGCGGCCCAGCTGTGCTCAGGAGGAAAATGGTTCAGCTGCAGCAGTTCTATCCACTGCTGGACCCTGGAGAACCAGGGACCCTGGAGCCCAGGCTTTCCACATGGAAGGAAAATCACCCAATCCACAGCCTGACCCTCAGGTGAAGCCAACACAGCCTCCATGGAGGAAGCCAAAGTCCAGCAGGGGAGGGAAGGAAAAGGTGGTAGATGTTGTGGAAGAGCAGAGACAGACCCACCAGAGAGGCCCCTCTCTGCCTGCAAAGCACAATGGACAGGCGCACCTCCCAGAGGATGACACTCCAGACATGGCTGGGGACCATGACCTGCATCACAATCCTCCTTTCAATATCAGCAAGCTCCTGACACCCATCATCCCCACCAAGCAGGCCCTGGAGTCACCGGAGGGCCGACTAGAGGAGGCCAGCCCCTCCCCCCCAGCGCAGCTCAATGGATACCAGGAGCGGGAGCCCAGTGAGTGTCCACTGCGAGACAGCTACAAATCCAAAGCACCGAGCCTGCTATTCAACCTCAAAGATGTACGGAAGTGTGTCAAGAGCACGTACAGTCACTCGCCTCTCTCCAAAGGCTTGGACGAGAAATCCCGAGGGAAGGCTGATGGCAAACAAGAGCCCATGAGCAATGGAGTCATGCTTCCCAATGGGGTTGAGGAAAGCCCTCCAAATGAGCTATCTCCAGAGAGGCCGGCCAAGGCCCCTACCACCTCGCACACTGGCACCCAGGACTCTATAGCCCAACCTGGGGAGGCCTCAATGCACGACCGCATCTCCCCTCCCACCGCTACCATGACCTCCTTCTGTGTCAAAAGGAACACTGCAGGAAGGAACAGCGAGGTGAAAGATGTTGTTGACCAGGAGTCAGAGCCAGGCTCTTCTGGGTCCTGGCATCCAGACAGCAGGGGACATGGCCCCAGGAAGCACCTGTCCCTGAAGCTATGCACCAGGGAGTCCAAGGAGGAGGATGTGCAGGATGCAGAGCAAACCAATACCCCCCAGCTGGAGAACAGGCTTTTGCAATCCACCTCCCAGGAGACAGAACCTGAGCAGGTCACAGGGCTTCTGAACCCACACCTGGACCAGAAAGCCTCCCCAGAGCCTCTGTCCCCCGAGGAGGAGGATGTGTTCTACAGTGACAGCCAGTCCGACTTTATGCCTGGCCTCCGGGGGAAGACAAAGTTTAGCACTAGCTCTTCAGATCAGTCTTTTGCTTCATTCGATGATCAGCAGAAGATATGGTTTTCTGAGAGCCAGCGGGAAGACAAAAAGGATGTGAGTACAGGTGACAGTGAGAAGGAGAAGGGACATGTGACAGAGACAGGCAACATCCTGAGTAATGGACACATGTGTGTGGAAGAGCAGAGCCAGGGCCAAGCACCACAAAGCACAGGTTTGTGTGCAGGTAGAGCTGGGAGGGTATCCACTCAAGAAGCAAAACACAGAGGCTCTAGGATGGTGGAAAATAGGGATATGGCCCTTTCACAGGCCAGAGACCCCACCCCCTCTCCATCCTCAGCTGCAAGCAAGCATCTGCTATTTACCATTAAAGACAACACCCTAAGGAGTACTCCCGTGATCAAACCCATCATCCTGCCCCACCTGAGGACCATGTCCTCAGAGGACCCACTCAGAGGTGGCCAAAGAGAGGGAGAATCACCAAGGCAACGTCCAGGTGAGAATGCTGGAGGGCATGGTGTCCTAGAAAGCCAGGCTGTGCCCAGCACCCCAATACCTGCTAACACGCGGGGCACAGGCTCAAAGCACATGGGCTTCCAGGCCCTGGAGAATCCTGGGCAGACGTCCACGGGAGCATGGACAGACATCTCTCAGCCAGACCCTGAGGAGACTTTCTCATCTCCACCACTGGTGGGAGAGGGCAACAGGATGAAGCCACCCGACGATAGGGCACAGGAAGTCGTGGCTAGTGATGGGAGGAGCAGGTCGAGGAAACCAGCTGCCCCAAGACACATCCCCATCATCACTTTCCCTGAGAGTGACCTGGAAGAGCAGCCAACCAGGCAGACACTGGCCACCTGCTGGGAAGAACAAAGTATCCAAGGCCAGTTTCTGTCTGCACCCAGAGCAGGGCCACCGGGGCGAAGACTGATCCCGGGTGAAATGGTAACGTCCCCCAATCCCAGCTCCCTGGGAGAGAGCCGTGCCTGCTCGCCCTCCACCAGCAGCCTTTGGGACAGTGCTTCTCAGGCACCTGGAGACCTGGGTCTGCTGCCTGAGGAGCCCTCCAGCAGTGCTAGCCCCCGGGCTGGCTCCACCAGGCTGGTACGGCGGGAAGACTTGATACACAGCCTCGTGTGGGAGCCAGACAGCTCAGACGCCCAACACCAGTCAGCCAGGGAGGACCTCCGGGCACTCTCCCCCAGAGGCTCTTTGCTAGACATAGCCATGGGCCCTGAGAGATCTGAGCCTCCCACTCAGCTGGAAAGGGTGGCCGAGAAGCCCCCCGCAGTGCCCCCCAAAACTGAGAAAGCCCTGCGGCGAGCAAAGAAGTTGGCAAGCAAGCGGAGAAAGAGTGAGCAGGTGCCTGAGCAGCTCAGGGAAGCCCATGAAGGTCGGGAGGGTACAGAGCGTAGGCCCCAGGCCCTTGGGGAGGGTCCCCAGCTCCCCACAGTGCGCACACTGCCCCCTCCTTCACACCGCCACTCCGTGTCAGGTGTCATGGAACCCATGGGGAGGCGGCCATGGGGGGTGCAACCCTTGACACCCCTGCCCCCTTACCCTGCCATGCAGAAGGTCCTCCAGGACCCTCAGTCTGGGGAGTACTTCGTTTTTGACCTGCCCCTGCAGGTGAAGATCAAGACCTTCTATGACCCTGAGACTGGCAAGTACGTCAAGGTCTCAGTCCCTGCCTCTGAAGGGGCCTCTCCAGAGCCCCCTGGGCAGGACACCCTGGCTATGCCCTACCTGGTGTACCCAGGCCTCCAGCCTGTGCCCGTCACAGCGCTGAGGCCCCTGCGCTGTTCTTCTCAGCTCTCCGCACCCACCTTCCTAGGGAAAGGCCTCCTCTCTAGGCCCCACAGCGTCCATGATACAGGGTCCTGGCCAACCACAGGGCCTCAGGGTAACACCAACCCACTTAAGGCCACCCAGTATGCAGAGGGGCCACCCACAGGCCCAGAAGATGAAGAAGTGGAAGCCCCAGGCCTGGCCATCATCTCCACTGATGACTTGGAGGACTTTGCCACTGAAGGCATTTCTTGAGGATTACAACAGACTGACCCCCTACCCCCCCAAACCAAAGAGCGTACATCCTGTCCCTTCAAACAGGCAGTCTCTTTCTTCCCCTCCCCTCCCTAGACGTATACAAAGGCATCAACCATATTCAGCCATCTGAGATCCCAAATGTCCAGAAGAAAGTGGTAGTCTGCCAGGCCCCTCAGAAGAGGGTGCTGTTCTCATGGCTAGCCTCTGCTGCCCCTCCCTGCCCCTGGCCATCCTACCCTGCCTGGGCCTTGTTCCAGGGTGATATAGCTCAGATGCTGGGGCCTCAGGGCAGCAGCCTCCAACCTCTCCCAAGGTGGGCTGGCCAGGGAGAGCTCCAGAAATGCGGAACCCTGCTGTGGGTGGCAGTGCGCCACCTGGAGCAGGCCAACACACAGCAGCCGGACTGCAGGTCACCTCAGCAGCCTTGCAGAAAAGAGGATGAGACCAGGTATTGTTTTGTTCTCCACAGGGAGCGTGCCTCTCAGGGCTATTTTCTGACAAAGAGAAAGCTACCATCAAAAACAATGAAGCAAGTTTACCAACCCGGTTCCCTCCCTGGACTCCTGTCTTTCTTCTGTGGGCGGTGGGGGGTGTGGGCCAGGAAATTCAAGCTCACATGCTGCAAGAGCCACAAAGGGCCTGAGGACCTGAAAAGAGCCTCTCAGGGGCCCCTGGTTCTCTCCTACTATGCCTTTCTGGGCCAGGGCCCCCGATAGTGTCAGGGAGGCAAAATTAGAAAACCCCAAGTCTATCACCAGCAATGGTCTAGGGAAACTGAGGCAGGCCCCGGTGGCCTTGATTTAGTGGCTGGTTTCTGTGCTCTGCCCTCAAAAGAATCCTTCAGCCTCCTGGATTTGGAGGAAAATCTCTAAATCGGCACAGGAAGATGAGGTGGATAACCGACCTTTCTCCCTGAGGAGCAAGAAGGTCCCAGAGTGGCACACCCCATCTTCCTGCAGCTCCCACATCCCAGCCTCTGCGAAGGCCTCTGTTCTGGTTCTGGGGAAAAACAGGGCTGAGAACCATCTCTCCTTGGTCAGAATCCCAGCAGCTGCAGGACCATGATGAACAAGTCCTAAGGACCTTGGAGACACACAGCGCCACTTCTTCATCAGGAAGATAGGGGGGCCCTGGCTATGTTGCCACGGTCTCAGTCTGCACCTCCCCAGGTCACTGCAGTGCTGATTCCTCCACTTGGCCAGAATAGAGGACTTTGGGTGGCACTCTGGGGGGCTCCTGTCTGGACAGCACTGTCAGGTTCACAGGCAGAAAAGGAACCTGTCCTGATGAAAAGTAGTGGAATGACCAGCACTGTCCCCCCTAATGTGGAAAGCACTGAGATGGGGACAGCTGCAGGTGTCATGGGGACTGAATCACAGCTTTCCAGGACCCAGTTAAGTGTAGGGCTTCCAGGAAATGACAGCCAGGCTCCAAGTATACTTGGGGTGGCCCTGAGCGTTGATGGAAGGCATCTGTGTGTAAATGAGGACACACTGGCAAACCTGAATGGATGGCATTGCAGCCAAGTAACACATGACACAAGACACAGTCCTTTGTGTGACTCCCATTCACTCAGGTTTAAGGTCCAAGCTGAGCAGAGAACTCCGGGCCATGTCAGTGAATTTGGTACCCCAAGTCATGCTCAGGCTTCTTCCATGTCATCTCTTGGGGGCCATCAGAGCAGAGGGCTCATCCTTCTTGCCTAGGTGAGCTTCTCCCCTGCCCAGCCCCAGGTGAAGTTCTGTCCTGTCTGGGCTCTGTAGTCACCCAGCAGAAACCTAACAACAAGACAGGTCCAGGCCCCACCTGCACCTCACCTGTCAGACTCCCAGGTGCTAGGAAGTTGTAGACACTTATGGTCCCCAAGACTCTGATGTGGACAGACTCTTAAATGCTGCCCCACAGCAGAGCACTACACCTGGCCCAGCATACCTGGCAGCTGCAGCCAGGCCAGGGATCCATGAGCAGAAAGCCTCCAGGGCAGGGCTCAGAGGAGGATGTGGACATTCGGCTTCCAGGGAGCTCAGAAGACCTGCTCCTCTCCATGGAATCCTATGGAGAAAGCATCAAGGACCACCAAGGTGGGTGCTAGCCCTGCCCAGAGCCCTCCAGGACATGCTCAGCCTCACTCAGCAGCCTAGATAGTCTGGTCCCTATTGCCACCACACCCTCCCTTCCTTGCCTAGCTACTCTGAATGGCCCTGCTTGGAAGGTAGTACTTATTAGAACAGAAGGCTCCCTTCCACAGGTGAAGCCCAGGGCACAAATGGATATCTGGATGGTAATGGATGAGGATGCTCTGCCCACCTCACCCACAGGCAGGAAGCCAACCTTCAGTTTGTGTTGCTATAACAAAGTACCCATGGCTGTGTATTTTATAAACAGAAGAGTGCACCCACATCCTGGTGAGGCTCACAGGCTGTGTCACAGGATGGGGGAGAAACAGAAAGGGAACTGGTGGGTACAGAGGACCAAAGATGGGTGCAATACAGGAGGAAACAACTACACCCAAACCATGGTGCTGTGGTCCTCACTTGCTAAACTGTAGTTTGTTCTTTGATTCACGTTACTATCTCAGCACTTTTCCTCAATCTCAGTGTGGGCCCCATCACACGAATACCACCCTCCCTGGTCCTTGTAGGTCATTAGTGCTCCCAGACCCAAGCCCGGCTCCCATCTCCCATCCCCATCCTTTCTGTGTGTTAGAGCCTTCTGTCCTCCTTCAGGAAGGCATCTATGCAGTAACATTGTTGGCACCTGCCTGTAGCTTCCATGGTCATTGCTATACTTTCCTCTGAACTGAGGAACTTCAGGCTATGTGCTCTTTTTCCCATCCACGTTATGTGGCTGGGCTCCCTCCATATTCCTGTGCTTTTTTACCATCCTGTTCTTCCTTGATGACTGTATCAGTCAGATTTCCATTACCAATAAGCTCAGCCTCATAAAGCTTTATGGCTTAGACCAAACATAGACAGATTCCTTACCAGAACATAACATGAATGGCCCTAGTCCAATCCCCAATAGAATCCTCATTCCATCTGAAACCTCCTGATGTTGGCCATTGCTGTCTGCCTTGCTGTTAGTGTTCTGGCCTTCTGGTCTCTACATTACCAAGCCCAACTTACAGCATTCTAGGATTTCTCTAGCCAGCATCTCTTAACCTTTCCAACTCCTACCTCAAACCAGATCCAAAAGCTTCTGCGCTACAGTCAGGTAGTCATAGCAGTGACCTTACTCGCTATACCAATTTTGTATCTGAGTCAGCCTTCTGTTGCTAGCACAAAATGTCTCACACACATAATTTAAAAAAGGAGAGATTCATTTTGGCTCATACTTTCAGGGCTTTCAGTTTATGGTCAGCTGGATCCGAGGCAGAAATACGACAGAGGGGCCTGGCATAGGAAAGCTGCTCTACCCATCAAACCATGGAGGCAAACAGCATTGGAAGAGACCAATAAAAAGAAGGCCGGACACCAGATCTAACCCCCGAGATCATGCCCCACCCATGACACCCAGCCACACCAAGATGCATACTTCACTAGTCTCCTCTTTGTATCTCAAGCCAATCAAGTTGACAGTCACCATTAACCATTGCAGCGATCAAAACTGAAAGAGGCAGTAAGCCCTGGCAAGAACTAACCCAGTGGTCATTTCCAGCCAACTCCAGCCAACACTGCCTCCATGGCAACCCTAGGGCTGCTCTCTTGCACCTGTGGCTCATCAAACTGCTCCTTTAAATTGTTCCTCCAAGGAACCTTTGACCAGTGCTCAATATCCCCAGTCACTGGAGAAATGTAGAGTAAAACTAGAGCAAGCCTCTGCCATACTCATTAGGATAGCTAGTTAAAACAACGATACCAAAGATGGAGAAAAAACATGTTGGCTAGGTTTGGAAAAACCAGAACTACTTGATGAGAATGTAAAATGGTACAACTACTGTAGAAAAATCTGCCAGTTCCTCAAAAAGCTAAAAACAGGATTATCATATGGTCCAGCAATTCCACTTATGGGCATTTGTAATACACAAAAATAAAAGCAGGCCCAAGAAGATGTTTGTCTACTCACATTCGTAACAGCTACTCGTGATAGTAGGGTGGGAAAAGCGACTCAGGTGTCCCTTTCTGGGTGGGAAATACAGGAAATCTGGTCTGTCCATATAGTGAATGATTATACACCTTGAGAAGGGAGGCAGTTCTGATTCACACTACAATATGAGTGGACCTTCAGGACCCAATGATCAGTGAAATAAACCGGTAAAATATGCACAAGGACAAAATGCAGCACAATCCCATGGCTCTGAGAACCATGGTGCAGCGTGATTTACAGCTGGAGAGGAGAGCAGTGGCTACCAGATCAGGAGTGAGGGACCCGGGACATGGGGATAGGACTTGCTGTTTGATAGGTACCAATCTGCAGATGAGGATGGAAAGGTCAGGAGGTAGAGGTGATGAATACACCCAGTGTCATTTCATGTGCTTTTAAATATGGCTAAAGTGGTAAAGTTTGGGTTCTGTATATTTTACATTTTGTTTTTTAAAAACACAGCCTAACAAGTCGTCTGCCCAGTGCAATACATCCCATCTGCCCACAGGACACACTCTAGTGTGGTTGGAGCCCAAAGTAAACTGCCTCAACCCTCTTCTCTCCCCCTCCTTCAAACACACGAAGGGGCAGGGGGCAATAAGCAGAATTGGGGACGTAGGCCCAATGTGAGCCAGGACAGCCTTCTTAGCACCATGGCAAATGACCGCACTTAACTCCAAAGAAAAACATGGTAGAAGAGGAAGCCCCAGATTCACAGCCACCAACTTTAGACCCCTGTGCTAGCCCCAAATCCCACAGATGCACTGCCTGATGGTCCCAGCTGCTTCCTAGGTGTGGTTCCCACCACTTCCGAGTACTGCCCCAGTCCATGTGGCCTCAGCCTATTCACCCCATCCCCAGGCCACTGTCTATATGCAGCCAGTGGTATCCCCTCACCTCATTGCCATCAGCACTTCATCACTGTCCCTGATCCCCATGCACCCTCCTTCCTGACTAGCCCACAGGGAAGCCCTCCCTTCTGGTTCCCTCCCTCTCACCCTCCCCTCCTCCTACAAGCCTCCTCCTCCCATTTCCTGTCCTGAGTGCACAGCCTCCTCCACTGTGTCCTGTAGATTCTAACATCTCATGAGCTATTTGGGCCCAGCCCCACAGGTCTTCATTTACAGCTTCTCCTGCTTACTTTAGAGACAAAGTTCACAGCCTTCTATTTGCCTCCTATGATGCTCAAAGTGCCCATGGTCACTGGGCCCCTGGGAGATGTTCCTTGGTACCAGGAAGGCCATCAGCCAATATCACTGCTTTGGGCAGTGTTCTTGTGTTAAATAACTGGGTTGAGGCCAAAGAAAAGAGGCTGAGGCAGGAGGACCTCAAGTCTGAGGGCAGTTTGGGCAAGTCAGTAAGTTAGCAAGACTCTATCTTAAAATAATGAAAGAAAGAAAGA